GACGCATTTCCCCCACCTGGGGTGAACGTAGTCGATGGCCGCTGGCTCTTCAAGGTGAAGCGCCCTCCTAGAGAGCCGCCTGTGTTCAAGGCGCGCTACGTGGCTAGAGGTTTCAGTCAGCGTGAGGGGGTGGACTTCTTCCTGACCTTCGCTCCGACCCCGAAGATGACTACTCTTCGGGTGCTACTACACGTAGCAGCGCAGCGTGACTACGAGCTTCACTCCCTCGACTTCTCCACTGCGTTTCTTCAGGGCAGTCTACACGAGCAGGTCTACGTGCGTCGCCCTCAAGGCTTCACTGGTACCTTCCCTCCTCGGACCCAGTGGCTCCTGCGGCGCTCCATCTACGGCCTGCGGCAGGCTCCCCGTGAGTGGCACGACACGCTGCGTGCTACGCTTGCTGACCTACAGTTCTTTCCGTCCTCTGCAGACCCCTCGCTCTTCGTTCGTGCTGGCCAGACTCCGTTCTACATCCTTGTTTACGTAGATGACCTGGTCTTCGCCACGACAGACAGGGACGCACTGACCTCCGTGAAGGCAGAGCTGCTGAAGAGACACACCTGCACTGACCTAGAAGAACTGCGCCACTACCTTGGCTTGCAGATCTCCAGGGACAGAGCAGTGCGCACCATCAATTTGACTCAGTCACACTTGGTGTGCCAGGTCCTTCAGAGGTTCGGCCTTCAGTTCTCCAACGGCATAGAGTGCAGGGACAGCAAGTGCCAGTTCCTCCCAGAATACACCCCCAACGGCCACGGCTCTTTCTGTACGCTGCCTGCTCTCACCCCACGACTCCACGTCTTGCCTCACACTCGTAGCTTCATTTTCTACACCTGCCTACCTCCCTCCCTCCCTCCCTCCCTCCCTCCCTCCCTCCCTCCCTCCCCCCCTCCCTCCGTCCCTCCCTCCCTTCCTCCCTCCCTGCTCAACCATGAATCCATCTCCCCCAACATGGGCATGCGTGCAGACCCCTCTGCCACTAAAGACTCTTGCGGTGGGCCTTGCGCCGATGGCCTTGTAGTTCAGCGACCGCGATTGCCAGTGCCTCCCAAAATACACCCCCAACGGCCACGGCTCTTGCGGCACGCTGCCTGCTCTCACCCCACGACTCCACGTCTTGCCTCACACTCGTAGCTTCATTCTCTACGCCTGCCTCCCTCCCTCCCTCCGTCCCTCCCTCCATCCCTCCCTCCCTTCCTCCCTCCCTGCTCAACCATGAATCCATCTCCACCTACATGGGCACGCCTGCAGACCCCCCTTCCACTAAAGACTCTTGCGGTGGGCCCTGCACCGATGGCATGGAGTGCAGGAACAGTGAGTGCCATTGCCTCCCAAAATACACCCCCAACGGCCACGGCTCTTGCGGTACGCTGCCTGCTCTCACCCCACGACTCCACGCCTTGCCTCACACTCGTAGCTTCATTCTCTATGCCGGCCTGCCTGCCTGCCTCCCTGCCTGCCTGCCTGCCTCCCTGCCTCCCTCCCTCCCTCCCTCCCTCCCTCCCTCCCTCCCTCCCTCCCTCCCTCCCTCCCTCCCTCCCTCCCTCCCTCCCTCCCTCCCTCCCTCCCTCCCTCCCTTTCTACCTCCCTGCTCAACCATGAATCCATCTCCCCCAACATGGGCATGCGTGCAGACCCCCTTGCCACGGAAGTCTCTTGCGGTGGGCCTTGCGCCGATGGCATGGAGTGCAGGGACAGCGAGTGCCAGTGCTTCCCAGAATACACCCCCAACGGCCACGGCTCTTGCGGTACGCTGCCTGCTCTCACCCAACGACTCCACGCCTTGCCTCACACTTGGCCTCTGGTGCCAACACAACTGATATCTTTACGAAGGCGCTTGCGCCTAAAGATCATCAGCGGCACTGTGTACAGCTGGGTCTCGTTCCTGTAGCCTCTCACTTGCTAGGGCCTTGACTTTGTACTGTCCTTTATATATATATTTTACCCAGACTGGCCTTGTGGCCTCTCCCAGTGGCTGGACTAGTAGTGCCGCCCTGGGCTTGCTCTTGCCTTGTCTATACTCCTTTTGACTGGTCTTTAGACCCTTGTCTCAGAGGCTGGACTAGTAGTGCCGCCCTGAGCTGCTTCTTCCCTTCTAGGGGGTGTGTCAAATGTAGCTTAGGTCATTACGGTAGACTATACTGGATTGTGCCTTAGAGGGTACAATACCCTAGTCTATATATCCTTGCACACACACATTCTAGTTCAATCATTTTCTTTCTGATAGATTGATCAGCGTAAATTTTTTTGAGAGGCCTGAAAAAACAGGGAGTTGAAGGGGGGGGACCCTGAGCGATCAGGGTGCCCCAAAACAAATCTGAGGCCCTTGTCTGATGTGTGCCTTGGTTGGAGCCTTGTGAGGGCGACAATCCCCTTCGCCCCTGCAATCTCGCCCGCCTAACCAAATTTGTGTCTAGCCCCGTAATTTCGCCATGGGAGAAAGTAACCACAAAGCTTTGAGAGTTCAGGAAAGTTTTCGTAAATAGAGTTGTTTGCTCAGGAAAAAAAAATCCACTGAGTCCTGATCAGGGCTGACGTTTAAAAAAAACCCACTCTGATTTTGGCCCCAAAAAAAATTCCGCAGTCTGAGTAGCCAGGTTTTAGTTTCCATGGTAGTCTGATTTCTCAGGGTTCGCAAGTATTAATCAGAGTCATCATTTCACCATTTACTTGTCATTATTTTATAACATTCGGGCAGTTAGCCAACACGTAGTCTAATTTCCTAGCCTAGCTAGAACTCTGGCACATCCAGAGCGACGACATCCTCCGCCTCATCATCAAACAGAAAGGGGTTGTCTTCTATAGCTACTGCACGTCCACCATCCCTCTCCCCCTCCTCCTCCTCCTCCTCCTCCTCCTCCTCAGCCCAATCCTCTCCTAAGTAGTCTGGCATTGGAGAATCCTGCTCTGCCTCTTCCAACAGAGCCTTGCCTTTGCGCTTCCTCTCTTGTGATGCGAACACCACTGACTTCGTTGGTCTTCTCTCCTTTGCGTCCACAGCTCCAGCGCCTCGTGCCAGTTGATGTCGTATCTCAGCAGCGAAATCATCATCATCTCATCTAGGCGGGCATTGCACAGAGCACCACGGACCCAAGACTTGATCACGTTCTGCCTGGAAAAACCAGCTCGCACTCCACAGTTGAGAGTGGTAACACCGGGCATGCTTGCCAGAGAAGCATGAGGTTGGGCCAGCGCCTGTTTATGGAACAACCACACACAAGAGGCGTGGAACAATAGAATCAATTATAAACTACAAGCATGGTGGGCAATGGACAATAGAAGTACATACAAACATAGACAGGCATGGTGGTCAAAGTGGCAAAAACAATCATACACAGGCAGACACAGCAGCGTGCTTTGGAGGTGCGACTTAGCTGCTTGACTCCGTGTTGCCAAGGTATTTCGCACCTTACAGAGAAACTCAACAGCGCGGAGCAGTCGCACGACCCGCCTCCCCTCGACATCCGACGACAAATAGTCGTCAATCCTCTTCTGCCCGTCGGCGATGTCGTCGGCAATCTTCAGCTGGGCCTCCACAGCTTCCTTGCGTGCAGAGGAGTGTTCGTGTATGCGCATGGTCTGTGTCTGCAGGTCTCGGCCACCATCGCCCGAAAAGCTGTACTTGGTGGTCTCCTTGCCAAACGTCATGCAGGCACTGCACTTGAGAGCAGAGTAACCGTCCTTTGTTTTGGTTAGCAGTAGCCATGGAAAGAAAGGCAGCCATGAAGTTTTGTACTTTGCTTCAGCAACGAGGTATTTCTGCTCAATCAATTCCTTCTTACTCAGCTTTGGCGGTGGCGGTTCAACGATGACAGGGACTGCACTAGGTGATGGCGGCGTCGACGGGCGGCGGAGCCTACCTCCGATCATGATTTGAGACTGGGTGTACTTGCCCGTCCGTTGTTTCTTCGCAGACGAAATCGTGGACGCGCAGGGCACGCTGTAGCGGACTGTGGTGGCGGTGACGCAGTTAACGGGCAGAGTCGGGCCTCTGCTAGATGAGGCGACGGCAGGCGGAGGGACATATGGTGGTGGCACGAAGGGCGCGGACAGAGGTGGGTTTAGAGCAGGCTGGGTTTCCTCCGCTGCGGAGGAAACCACAGCAGCAACGACAGGAGGAGAACCTAACGATCGCAGTATGTCTATCGCGGAGCGACGAACCTCTGCAGGCTCGTTACTATGAGGTGGTTCATCGGCGCTGGGCTCATCGTCTTCTTCTGCAGGAGTCCCCATCATGGCAGTTGACGGGGTCGACAAACAAGAACCTACGTGAGGAGGACAACTCTGAAACACGAATTGAGGAGTACGATTTACAGACCCCGTGTAAAAGCCTGAGTGCGCCTGAGAGGAGGGGGAGGGATGAGGAGGGACGAAGAAGGGCATCATCAAGCCCGAGGCGCATGTTTCTTGGTTAACCCTCGTTGCCAGCTTCTGGATGGCAGCCCCTTCCAAACCCGCGCCGCCATGCCAAACATGAGCTGACGTTACGAACGAACCATGTGTTGGCATGGACTGTCGCCAATCACGGTCGGTCGGACAGTTTTGCACTTGCCACCGAGGGCAAGTTTCCCACGTTACCAGCCTTTGATGGCTTCCAACACACCCACGTAGAGGTCCTTTTACCAGGCACGCCTGGCAGGATGCATGATGCGCTGAGCGGCAAAGTCCCTGTTGAGGCAGCATCACAGTCACAGAAGGGGCGGGAATCCTGCCAAGTGCAGATACTGCACGTGAGACCTGCGGGGGTGAAATGATGGAAGGCAGCATATGACGTAGTAGAGGAAATCTCGTGGAAACTATAAGGTGCATGGATGTCGCATTCAGAGTCCATACGCAATGTACTCTGAAACCTCAGTATCCGCACAACGACTACTCTGAGAACTTCAGGATCCAAAATCATACAACTCTGAAGGGTTCAGTATCCAGAAAAGCCTAAGTCTGAAAAATCAGGATTGGCAAAAAAATGGGTCTGAAATTTCAGACAATCAGACTAAAATAGTCTGATAAAATCAGCCCTGGTCCTGATTCATGAGAATGTTCTTTTGGGCCTACCCTGAAAAATCAGCATGCCTGAAAACCAATCTAGGGGCCTGATTCTGGCGAAATATTTTCCAGAGCTCGCAGAGCCCATCCCAAGCTTCCAAACGCACTGCTTTTGGACAATTTGGGCTATGGGCTTTAACTTAATGCCGCAAAGCAAATGCTTCATTGCACGCAACCATGCTACATATCATACCGGTAGCTTCTTGTGCTACAATAGATGTGTTTGTCTGCAGCACCACGACTGCCTGCCACCACTATTTATCTCCGCTTCTCCCCTTACACGCTCACCTCCAACAACACACCACTTGAGCCTTGATCCCCAGCACCACCAACATCAACTGCTTCCACAGCACCTGCTCGCCTCGAACCAAGTCGGCCATTACTTCCCTGCTCACCATCCCCACCCCCTCCACCCCCTGACCTCCCTACAAATGCCTCCTCTTGTTCCCAGCCCTCTTCCAGCCCACCCCGCACCTCGCCACTCCCACCACCGTTCCCATCGCCACTACTCCCCCCTCCTGGCTGCAGCAGCAGCAGCAGGAGGAGCACGGCCAGGCCTGATACACCGACAAGGATGCGTTTGAGGAGGGAGGACTCTTGGGCGAGTCGCTGGGCCTCCTGCGATAGCAGCTGGTCGTCTCCTTGGATGCGCGTGAGCGTGGCTCGAAGGGTGTCCACGTCCCGTGCCAGCACTGCGTGCTTCTGAGGAGAGGGAGATCAGGAGAGAGGGAGGGAACGTACGGGGGAAGGGAAAGGGAGAGAGAGGGAGAGGGATAGGAATGGGAGGGAGAGGAGTGGAATGGAGGAGTCAGGAAGGGGAAGAGAAAAGAAGAGGAAAGAATGGGAACCTTTGGAGTAACCGAGGAGCCTCGTAAGGCAGGAGGGTCAACATCAAGGGTAGGAGTCCCCAAATAGAGGCAGACAGAAGGCGTGGAACCACGAACACGGATAGACGCCAGGTTAGACGCCAGGCTATCTCCTCTGTGTGTTCGCCCTCACCAAGCAAGCGCCGCCAGCGTACCTGCTCGCCCTCGCCCACCGCCTTCTTCGCCCGGTCCACCTCATCCGCTAGCCTGGCAGCCAGCTGTTGCCCCTCCGCCACCTGGGCCTCCAGCTGTGCTGCCACCTGTCGGCCCTGCTCCACTTGGGACAGCAGGTCCCCTGCCCGGCCCGCCATGGCCTCTAGCTCCTGCTCCGCTCGCTCCGCGTCGACACTGCAGGGGAGGGAGGAGAGGGGGATGGGCATGTGGAAGGGGAGGATTCTGTTTCTCAAAGGAAGGATAGCTTGCCTCGTCCCCTGCTTTTCTCAACGCCTCAGGAGCAGGCCCCAAGATATCAGCCTTTTTACGCTGATTCCTTTTTTCAGCCTTTTTTTTTGTACCTATGCTGAACACTAAGACTTTTTGAGATGGGTAAAGCTGACAAATTCAGCCTTTTTTTTTAGTGATGTCTGATGATTTCAGCGTTTTTGGTGGGGTGTAGGCTGAGGTTTCAGCGAAGTCTCTGGGGGGGAGTCTGAAACCGAGTACAGCGAGATTTGCGTCCCCCCGTATTTACCGCATCCAGTCACAGACACCCCTTCTCTCTCCCCCCCCCCCCCCCCCCCCCCCCAAGTATATTGTTTTCTGGTGTCCTCGAAAACCAGTCACACCCCTCTCATACCCTCGGCAACCCGATTGTTTTTTGTCGAAGTCCTCGAAAACCAGTCACTCCCCCTCATACGCTTGGCAACCCAAAAGTTTTTGTCTAAGTCCTCGAGAACCAGTCACTCCCCCTCATATGCTTGGCAACCCAGAAGATTTTGTCGAAGTCCTCGAAAACCAGTCACACCTCACTCGTTACCTCGGCAACCATAAATTTTTGTTGGTCCTCGGAAACCAGTCACTGACACCCCTGTAACCCCCGAAACCCAAAGATGATTCGTCCGAGTCCTCGCCAACCAGTCACACCCCTACAGTATCATATCCCCCGAAACCAGTGGCACCTGGTCTGCTTTGATTTCACACCTATTTCACCGCCGAAGCGTTGTCATTGTCACCCTTTGAAAGCATGACCGATGAGGCAAGTTTCGCAACCCCTTAAACAAACGGCATGTTTTGGTTTCTAGACGACCCGGAATTATAGCGAATATCTCATATTAGAGCATGTTGCCCCTGAGTGTCAGGATTTTGACCTGAAGCTATCGACGGTGTCGATCCTGACACGTCAGAAATTATGTGAAGTGTAAATCTCAAACCGTCCGTTCTTCATGTCATATTTCTTGACATTAGGGGGGAACGCACTCGGAGGAGTCATCTCGGTCCAACTATTACACCCGCGACTTCAGCGTGGCTGACTGGAGGTCACCGTGAACAAGGGAATGCTTTTTGCAGTTCCATAAAAGGTCAGGGATGAGTTAAAAAGTTTACTGCCGCCCAAATTCAGTGGGCCTGGTCAGGTGTATCGCAAGCAACTGGCAGGAACCGAGACCAGACACGTTCTTCCCCCTGCGCCAGTCATGCTGGCGCGCAAACACCTGCCAATCTCTGGCATTTCTACAAGTGCTTCAGCCAATCACTGGCATCTCAACTGCTTCAGGCAATCGTAAGGCTCGTTATTGAAAGTCGGCTCGGCTCGTTCTACAAGTTCCTGACGGATAATTCAGAATGTGCATCAGACTTTTTTTCATAACTAACGCTGATTGATCAGCGATTTATTTTTAGGTAAGGCTGAAAATTTCAGCCTTTTTTTCAGGGGCAAGGCTGCAAGATCAGCCTAAACGCAGGGGGCAAGGAGGATGAATCAGCGTGACCCTAAACCAATCTTAGGGCCTGCTCAGGAGCATGTATTTCGTGATAGAAAGGCGGAAAATCAGGAACAACCAGCATAATCTCAAGCCCTATTTTGCACCTGTGCCCGTAGGCCCCCCACCCAGCCCACCCTGCCCACCCTGCCCACCCTGCCCGCCCTGCCCGCCCTGCCCGCCCTGCCCGCCCTGCCCACCCTGCCCGCCCTGCCCGCCCTGTCCGCCCTGCCCACCCTGCCCGCCCTGCCCGCCCTGCCCACCATAACCTCTACCTCCTGCCCCACTCTCTCAGCGTCGGTGCTGCAGGGAGGTGGATAGGCTGGAGCTCACCAAGGGCTCAAGGCTCCACTCCAAGGAGTGTAGTGCGTGCGTTTTGAAGTGCCCCACTCACACTCCTACAGTCCCCACCCCTACAGACCCCATCCCACCCTACCCCAGCAACCGAGCCCATCCCACCTCATGCCACCCCATCCCATCCCGTGTCATCCCCTCCCACTTTTGAGTCGACTCAAATGCAATGATCCCACAGCGGCCTCTGCGTCTATGGCTACCCGCGTCCGCCTCAAAAGACACCACCATGCCTCGCTGCATCCCATCACACAGATTCCCACCCCACCCCATCCCATCCCATCCCACTGAATCACACACTCTACTCACCGCAGCGCGCCAACAGCCGCCTCTGCGTCCAAGGCCGCCCGCAGCTGCCTCGCCCCGTCCTCCAGCGCCGCTTCCAGCTCGCGCTCCCTCCCCTCCGCCGCCGCCACCTCAGCCTTCAGCTCCGCCACCTCATTCCGCAGCGTGCTGACGAGGCGCGTCATGTTCTCCGCCATCTCGCTCGCCGCCTTCCGTGCAGCTTCCTCCCTCTGCTCCGCATCCTTCAGCTGCGATGTCAGCAGCGCAACCCGCTCTCTCACTGCCGCCACCGCCTCTTTCTCCGCATCTACCTTAGATTTAAGAATCTCGCCCTGCCGTGTGACGAAGGCTAGGCGTTCTTTTGCTGCTTGGGCTGCCTCTGCTGCCCGTGCTTCCCTCTCCCTGGCCTGCCTAATGGTGTCCTCCAGCTCTTGTACTCTTGCTACTGCTGCCTGCTTCTCCCCGTGCCCTGCCTCCTTCTCCCTGCTCAGCTCCGACACCAGGAACTCCAGCTCAGTAATCTGGAAGGAGGGTGGGAGGGTGCATGGTGTAAGGTGGCGGGCTGATGGGCAAAGGGGAGCACATGCGAGAACCCCATGTTCTCCGCTTGCCTTGCCTCCTTCTCCCTGCTCAGCTCTGATACCAGGAACTCCAGCTCGGCGATCTGGGATGGAAGGTGCAGGTTGAAGGGTGGAGGGTGGAGGGTGGATGAGCATGGGAGAGAGGAGAAGAAGGGGGGACTCCCCTTGATGGCGGTTAAGCCCTTGGTGGTGTCTTTCCATTCTTCGGTCTCAAGTACTAGAACCCCACTTGTGCGACTCCCCCCCACCATACCACAACCAGCAGCACCACCACCCGTCATCCCATCGTCGCCCTGCCCTTCCCATGGCACCTGTGCGTCCAGTGCATCCTGGCAACAACAACCCCCACCAGCAGCAGCACAGCCCCCCATGACGCCACCTTCCCCATGCCACCTGCACAGCCCCCTGTGAAGCCACCTCCCCCATGCCACTGGTGGATTGTTCCTTGCACCTAGAGTTGGGAAACTCCACTCATCCAGCACCTGCACAGATTTTTTAGGCACCTCAAAAATCGCCCCATGACACCTGTGGATCGTTCTTTGCACCTAGAGTTTCCCAACTCCACTCATCCAGCACCTGCACAGCCCCCCGTCACCCCACCTTCTCACCTCCCCACAACCCCGCCTTCCCATCGCTGCGCCTGTGCTTCCAGGCCGCCGGATCGCTCCTGCTTATTGACTTCACTCAACAGTCACCCACCAGCAGCAGCACCCACCACCCCAACGCCCCATCGCCCCACCTAACCCACCTCCCCACCTGCCAACCAGCGCACCTGTGCTTCCAGAGCATCGGACCGCTCCTCTGTAACTGTTGCTGCTCTGCGCGCTGCTGCTGCCGCATCCATGGCTGCTTCTGCCAGGGACTGGTGCGGGGGAGGGAGGATGCAGGCAGAGGGGGTGGGGGGGGCGGGGAAGAGGATGGGGGTATGGGGGAGGAGCGGTAGGTCAGTGGAAAGTGGGCAAGAATAGGGTTGTGTGGCCACATGGCCACTGTTGCTGCTCCGCATGCTGATGCAGCCGCATGCTTCGAGCTAGGAGCTCTGTTGGATTGTCACGGTCGAATCTAAAGTTTTAGTGCATGCTGATGCAGCCGCATCCATGGCTGCGTCTGCCAGGGACAAGTGCGGGGGGGAGGGGTGCATGCGGAGGGGAGGGAGGAGGGGAGGGGGGGTGATGGGGGGAGGGGAGCGGAGGGCATGGCAGGAGGGGAGGGGAGAGGAGGGGAGGGAAGGGGGGGTCAGTGGAAGGTGGCCAACAGATAGGGTTGTGTGACCAGGTTGCTACTGATGCAACAAAAGAGAGAGGGGGAGGGAAAAAGAGGAGAGGTGAGCGTGCACTGGGTGCAGGGAGAGGAGAGTGCGAAGGTGGGGCGGGTACCGGGACGAATGGAGAAATGGAATAGACTGTGGTAGAAAGGGGAAGCACGGGAGAACAGGGAATCGGTGAGGACAATTAGAACCCTTGCAGCATCTTCTTCTCGACGCACTTCCAATAAACAAAACAAAGATTATCAAGAACAGCAGGAGAAGGGAGGGGCGAGGAAGGGAGGGCGGCGAGGGAGCGAGGAAGGTGGGAGGCGAGGGAGCGAGGGAGGAGGACACAAGTGCACCTTGTGATGGTCAATTTGCACGCGAGCAGCGGCAGCGGCCTTGTGGAAAACGACCTGCCAGTGAGCCAAGCCAGTGCAGTGGACCAAGGAGAAGGGCAGGCATGGCACTGAATCTTCTCAGGTCTCCTAGCCAATGCACCCCCTAGCTACTGCATGCATAACGCTGGACTGCATGCATAACGCTGGACTGCATGCATAACGCTGGACTGCATGCATAACGCTGGACTGCATGCATAACGCTGGACTGCATGCATAACGCTGGACTGCATGCATAACGCTGGACTGCATGCATAACGCTGGACTGCATGCATAACGCTGGACTGCATGCATAACGCTGGACTGCATGCATAACGCTGGACTGCATGCATAACGCTGGACTGCATGCATAACGCTGGACTGCATGCATAACGCTGGACTGCATGCATAACGCTGGGCTGCATGCATAACGCTGGGCTGCATGCATAACGCTGGGCTGCATGCATAACGCTGGGCTGCATGCATAACGCTGGGCTGCATGCATAACGCTGGGCTGCATGCATAACGCTGGACTGCATGCATAACGCTGGACTGCATGCATGACGCTGGACTGCATGCATCACGCTGGACTGCATGCATAACGCTGGACTGCATGCATAACGCTGGGCTGCATGCATAACGCTGGACTGCATCCATAACGCTGGACTGCATGCATAACGCTGGACTGCATGCATAACGCTGGACTGCATGCATAACGCTGGACTGCATGCATAACGCTGGGCTGGATGCATAACGCTGGGCTGCATGCATAACGCTGGGCTGCATGCATAACGCTGGGCTGCATGCATAACGCTGGGCTGCATGCATAACGCTGGGCTGCATGCATAACGCTGGACTGCATGCATAACGCTGGACTGCATGCATGACGCTGGACTGCATGCATCACGCTGGGCTGCATGCATAACGCTGGGCTGCATGCATAACGCTGGGCTGCATGCATAACGCTGGGCTGCATGCATAACGCTGGGCTGCATGCATAACGCTGGGCTGCATGCATAACGCTGGGCTGCATGCATAACGCTGGGCTGCATGCATAACGCTGGGCTGCATGCATAACGCTGGGCTGCATGCATAACGCTGGGCTGCATGCATAACGCTGGGCTGCATGCATAACGCTGGGCTGCATGCATAACGCTGGACTGCATCCATAACGCTGGACTGCATGCATAACGCTGGGCTGCATGCATAACGCTGGGCTGCATGCATAACGCTGGACCGCATCCATAATGCTGGACTGCATCCATAACGCTGGACTGCATCCATAACGCTGGACTGCATGCATAACGCTGGACTGCATGCATAACGCTGGACTGCATGCATAACGCTGGACTGCATGCATAACGCTGGACTGCATGCATAACGCTGGACTGCATGCATAACGCTGGACTGCATCCATAACGCTGGACTGCATGCATAACGCTGGACTGCATGCATAACGCTGGACTGCATGCATAACGCTGGACTGCATCCATAACGATAGGACTGCATGCATAACGCTGGACTGCATGCATAACACTGGGCTGCATGCATAACGCTGGGCTGCATGCATAACGCTGGGCTGCATGCATAACGCTAGATAGACTGCATGCATAACGCTAGATAGACTGCATGCATAACGCTAGATAGACTGCATGCATAACGCTAGATAGACTGCATGCATAACGCTAGATAGACTGCATGCATAACGCTAGATAGACTGCATGCATAACGCTAGATAGACTGCATGCATAACGCTAGATAGACTGCGCACAATCATGGATGGAGCGCAACTCTAAGCCGCTTCTGGCGATAGCAGTCCCTTTCCCAGTTTCTGAGCCTCTTCTGGCATGGCATGGCAACACCATGGTCGGTCTACTCTACTCCTCCCAAAGTACCTCGGAAGCGGCCAAGGGAATGTCGGCGCTGGCTTCCACGCTCGCCCCCACCAGCTGCTGCACGTACTGCAGCTGGGCTTGCTGGGGGCAGGGAGCACGGGGGCAAGCAGGGGGGCGTGAAATAGGAGAGGAAAGTCAGCACTGCAGTAGGTTATACCACGATCAATACAACGATTTATGCCAAGGGAATGTCCGCACAGGGGTCAGGGAAAAAAGGGTCAGGGGGAAGAGATGGGAGGATTGACGATGTATGTAGCAGACCAGCAGTAGTGCCTTCCACGCTCGCCCCACCAGCTGCTGCATGTACTGCAGCTGGGCATGCTGGGGGCGGGGAGCATTCGGGCAGGCAGGGAGCAGAGGAGGGGAGAGAAGAGAAGAGAAGAGAAGAGAAGAGAAGGGAAGGGAAGAGAAGAGAAGAGAAGAGAAGAGAAGAGGAGAAGAGAAGAGAAGAGAAGAGAAGAAAAGAGAAGAGAAGGGAAGAGAAGAGAAGAGAAAAGAAGAGAAGAGAAGAGAAGGGAAGATGGAACAAGGAGGGAGGCATCCCTGTAACACCTACTGCAGCACCGCCAGACGTGTTGGGTTGAGGATTAAGTTTCGGGTTTACTTTGGTTTCTGATTTGTGCTAGGTGCTTGAAGCTTCCACTCATACATCGCACAAGAATATTTCACAAGCCCACTTCCTGCTCACCACCTCTGCTCACTTACACTTATTGTGTCCAACACAACACCTGAAGCTGTTTTCTCATTTCTTCTGCCCAAACCCAATCATTTCCTGTTTTCCTCGGCCCTTAGGAGTGCCTGAGACATACAAGCAGCAGCAGCACCAACCCTGCATTCCCCTGCATTCCCCTGCATTCCCCTGCATTCCCCTGCATTCCCCTGCATTCCCCTGCATTCCCCTGCATTCCCCTGCATTCCCCTGCATTCCCCTGCATTCCCCTGCATTCCCCTGCATTCCCCTGCATTCCCCTGCATTCCCCTGCATTCCCCTGCATTCCCCTGCATTCCCCTGCATTCCCCTGCATTCCCCTGCATTCCCCTGCATTCCCCTGCATTCCCCTGCATTCCCCTGCATTCCCCTGCATTCCCCTGCATTCCCCTGCATTCCCCTGCACACACCCCTTGCACCACCCCCCCTGCATTCCCCTACATTCCCCACCATCCCCCCCCCAACCCATTTCTCACAGGCACCCCCCACCGCCCGCCCAGCCTACCGCCCAGTCGTCAGCTGGCCCTCCCGGGCCGCCGGAGTCTCTGCGGCGCTCATACACCGCCTGAGCCATGGCGCTGACCCGCGGGGTGTCCAGTGAAGAGAGGAGGTCTACGCACTGAGGGGGGAGGAGGAAAGTGGGTGGAGTGCACGGAGATATATGAGTAAGATCGTCGGTGCCACGGCGCGCCGCTCGTACACGGTCGGAGCTCTGGGCCATGGCGCTGACTTGGGGGTGTCGCACTGTGGGTGGGGTGGAAAGGGGGGAAGGGGGCGGAGGGGGGGGAAGAAGGGGGCGGAAGGGGGGGGGAAGGGGGCGGAGGGGGGGGAGAAGGGGGGCCGAGTGCGTGTGTGTGCATGTGGGAGTGTGAACAAATGTGTGAATGCGGGTGTTTGTGTGTGTGTGTGTGTGTAAGAGCGCAAACATGTGAGTGTGACTGACTGTGCATGCATGCATGCATACATGTGTGCCAAGAAACTCAAGACTCCCGACCAAGGCACGCACCTGCTGCCATGGCTGTAGCAACGCACCCGCTGCCATGGCTGTAGCGACACACCTGCTGCCATGGCTGTAGCGACAAACCTGCTGCCAGGGTTGCAGCGAAAGACGGACATCGGGAGCTGCTGCTGCCATGGCTGCACACGCCTCTGCCAGGGTGTGGCGCCCTGCAAACGTTAGAAAGCTGGTGGAGAGGGAGTGTTTACGAGGGGGGAGGGAAGGAGGGAGGAGAGGGGAGGAGGGGAGGGGAAGGATGGGAGGGGGGGGGAGAGTTGGTGGGTGGGTTTGAGGGGAGTGTGGCAGCAGGTGCGGTAGAGGAGGGGGGGTTGAAATTGTGAAAAGAGCTTGGTTACAGGGGTGGTAGTTCGCGCGCGCGTGCGCGCGCGCGCGCGCGCGCGCGCGCGCGCACACACACACACACACACACACACACACAAAAGGACCGAGGCATACAGGCAGGGACGCACCTGAGGGCGATGGAAGCGGAGAGAGCTGGCGAGGAGCCGCAGAGCACAACGCGCAGGCCCATGGCGGACAGCGTACCCACTCCCTGCACTGCCTCAAACACCCGCCACCCCACTTGCTTTTGAGGCGCCTCAAAAGCATACAGGCAGAGGCACACCTGAGGGCGATGAAAGCGGAGAGATCCGTCGAGGACGAGCAGAGGACAGCGCGCAGACCCATGGCGGACAGCGTACCCACTGCCCGCACTGCCTCAAACACCCGCCACCCCACTTGCTGCGTGTCCTCTAGAGCTGGCAGTGAGATCTGCAGCGCCACGCCACCCTCTTTTGCTGCTGCCTCCACGACTGATGGCCAGTCCAGGGCGGAGGGCTCGCCGTCGGTCTGCCGGGGAGAACGTGGGAAGAACGGGGATAGAGAGGGGAAAGAATGGAGACAAAGAGAAAAGGGTGGGGAAAATGGGTGCACCAGAACACTAATGGGGCACTGTGCAGAGTCAACGACTTCCCAATGTGGCACCAAAAAGGGCAGCACAGCACGCCTTCAGTTTGATCTTGTCTGGAAATTGAAGCAAAAAAAAAAGCACAAATAGACCTAAAAAGCGCACCTGCAGCAGCACAACAGCGTCATAGCCCCACTTGCGCACATAGGTCTTGAAATCCGCCTCGTTAGAGGGAGCCCCGCCCAGGCCCAGGCTCTCTGTCACCCCTTTTTGCCACACCGCCGCCGCATCCCCATCATCCTCTCCCGCCTCGTCCTCCCCTCCTCCCTCCTCCTCCTCCTCCCCCTCTACTCCACTTCCCCAAGCCACCCCTGCCTTCCCACGCTCCTGCGCATCCTTCCCCTTCCTCCCCGCCTCTGCGCCTTCCACCCTCACCTCCGTCTCCTCCCCCTCCTCCTCGCCCTCCTCTGCCCTCCCCCCTCCTCTATCCTCCTTTCCGGATTCCAAAGTGCCCTCTATCGCTTGTGCTCCCCCGGACGTACCCTTTACAAGCTCCTCCGGTTGTACCCCTGAGCCTGTGGCTGGAGTCGGAACAGCCGAGGGAGATGACCGACGAAAGGGAGGGAAAGCGGGACGAAAAAACCCAATGCGGAACGTGAAAATGACGACACGAGCAAAACATAGTAGGGAGAGAAAGCGGGGTGGAGGGGGCGGGGGAAGACCGGGGGGGAGAGGGGGGGGGGGGGGGGAGGGGGAGGGGGGGGAAGGGGAAGGGGAGTAGCTGAAAAGAAGGCGTAGCAGACGGTTCCCAGCTCCCCGTCTGCTATTGCCGCGCGAGCAACGCACGGAAAGAATAGACCTCTCAGCCCATCCAAGAAGGGTGTTTCAGGGCCAAGGTGCCAAGCGCAGGGTGAGTGAGTGCCACAGAAGGCGGCGCCATGCAGGCAAGTCTCCTGGCATGGGCCCCACGGCGGCAGGCAAGGCATCATCAGGTCCACTCCGCACCTGCTGTTGACTCCCTCTCCTTCGCTCCCGCCATCACTTCCTGCCCGTCCTCTTCGACCGCCTTGCCTCCAGCCTTGTCCAAAACTTCTCGCGCCAACGGCAACGATAGCTCCGTCTCCGTCGCTGCCACGTCATCTACGGCTCCAGGCTGTCGCGCGAGCAGACTGCCACGTCGGACTGGCTCTGGCGGGACGAGTCCAGCTGGAGGGCGGGCTTGGAGTCGTTTCTGGTTAGGTCTTAGGGAGCAGAACCTGGTACGGTACGTCGAACCGTACGCGTGACCGTACGCGTGCTCGTTTGTTGAAACGCGACTGGCAGCGTGCACCGAGGGGCAACAAAAGCTCACCGCGCGACTCGCCATTCTCCGCTAGACGCGGTCCGGCTTTCAATGGACTAATTATGAATATCCTGGGCTCGTATGACTATCGCGCGAAGTCAGAGTCTGGCAGCCAAGAGAAGCATGGATTAGGTGGCTAGGTCGCTGACTCCTCCTACAGAAGAGGGTTGTAATATCATCGAGGTTCGAGATGCGAGTTGCTGGGCACAGGTAGTCTTATTGACGGGACAAAAAACGCGGGGATTCTGGAAGAGACCATCGCCGCGAAGGTATAAATACCGTTTCAGCTAGTGGTGCGATTAATTCTATTGACACGCTCCAGCTGCCGCGCCACGGGGTGTGGAATCAAGACGACGCTGGGGCTACGCTGATGCGCACTCGTCGTCGCTAGTACCAGAAAGATTAGGGGGAAACTACCAGAAAGATTTGGAGGCTGGTGGCACATAACATTTTCAGAAACTACTGTGCCGCCAGCAGCTGAATTACAGAGTCTTAAAAAAACTGAACGTTTTTTTGGCTTAGTTCGTACCGCAACCACTCTGCACCGCGGTATTCTATGTCTGAAACCCACCCAATCGCTTAAACCTCTTCTCACACGTGCACAAAAATGCCGTCACGGAATGCAATGAGAGTGACTATAACGAAGAGCTCCCGTACAGGACAGCAATTTTGTGAAGTGAGAAAACAGCACACCCCTTCTGGCACCAGAACTACACACACGCTTCGCGCCGTGAAACTACACTTCTGACAAACTGCTGTCGTACGGTGTTGAGAGAGGTACCTCCAAATTTATGGGACTCCTGACCCTCGTTGAATCACGGGCCTTAGGGTCGGTCAGACTGCGTGTCAAGCATGTGGAACTGTACAGCCCTACCTGTACCGTTGAAGCAGATACTGCCCGGGTGTCAGGTAGTTTGATGCCGTGGCCGTTAGGTCGACCTGTCCCACGGGTCAGCTCACCAACCTGTACCCTGACCTGACACGGTCTAGCTTCGCCCTTAGCGACTTTCCTTCGTCACGAAGTATGAAAAGCTGAACAAGAACACCCCCCAAGATTTCAGCGTTCTTTACCACCCTGACTTACAATTACGCCGATTGCTGGGGGTCTGTTTCTACACCATAGAACGGGAGAATTGTTTGGGGCAGTGGAGGAACAAGGACAACAGCTGCCCGCTCTTTACAGCAGATCAAGCACCTAGCCAATCAAGGTCCGTGCATTCCTTTCCCTCACACGTCAGTGCATGCATAGCTAGCACCAAAAATTCCCGCGCGCGGGGCGACGCCCGTTGGTCTGCTCTGCTGTTTGACGCATGCGGTTCAGCTGGTTTCCGCACGGTTGAGCACGGGTATCTCATTCTACCGCTTTCTAACTTGGAAAATCGAACACAACCGTGATACTGCCCATGAATTGAAAACGAATGTGCTAGATGCAGTGTTCCGTGACCTGACAACATTTGGATAAACGTCTGCCGCATCGATGTCACCGAGGGTTGACTCAAACCGCCCTGCTGTGAAGTGGGAATATTCCATACTGATGTTGAACCCAATCCATCATCCCAACACATATTGTAGATGTATTTGTAGAGGCATTTTCTGCACGAGCTTAGTCCACTAGCTGGCGGTCTATCCGTTCCTGTCACGCCTACTATCAGTCACTGCCCGCAACAAGTCAGTCGCATTCCGCCTTACCGCTGACTGGGCTCTCTAGAAACATGCTCGCGACGCGATCGCTATCAAGATCGTTATCTCTATCGACACCTGTGGTCAAGGACAATGCAACAGTGGGGAACTCCGCATCCGAGCTCTGGCAAAATTCGGACGGAGGCGTTTCGAGGTTACTGATCAAGCACCAGCAGCCAGCGACGCATCGCAGTGCGAATTCGGCTCATGGCCGTTTTAGTCGCAGGCTTCCGCACGCGTCGCCTGTCGCGTCGTCGTCGTTTATCGCCGATCTGTTCGGCAACGAGGTGCGTGCGGCTTGATCCGCCGCCATCAAATTCGCGTTGCTCTCCTGCGCTGCGTATTAAAATCTCGCTGTGAAATTTGCGGAAATTATCTTGTCGAGGGACTGTAGAAGGAAGACCGTGGGAGGAAGGTTGGGGGAGGAAGGTCGTAGAGAGATGGAAGAAATGGGAACTGCTGAAATTGGACTGACGAAATCGGACGGACGAAATTGAACGGACGAAATTGGACGGACGAAAGTGGACGAATGAAGTCTGACGGATGAAATTGGACGGATGCAGGGGGAAGGTGGTGTAGAAATGCTTGGCCCCCGTCCTGTTGACTCTTTCACATCCCCCGCGCTTTCGCCTTTCCCCCTTCTCCCCAGTTCTCACTTCTCAGACTCACCGCCTCTTCCCACTTCCCTATATCCCGCGGCCTCTCCCCACTCCCTCGACCTCCGCGCCTCTCCCTCCCATCTCTCTCCCCCTCCTCCCCCATACCCCCCCGCCCCCCCCAGCCGCTGGTGGCAGCGAGCGCGGCGTGCGTGGTGGCGCAGCTCCTGAAGCCCGTCCTGGCGGCGGCAGCAGGGGACGGCTTTAACTGGCGCCTCGTGGTCAAGTCGGGCGGCATGCCCTCCTCGCACTCCGCTGTGCGTGCCCTCGCTTGCTGACTTGCTGCCCTGCTGCCTTGCTGCTCTGCTCTCCCTTGTTCTCCCTTGCTGCGACTGCTCCCTTGCTCTTGCTTGCTCCCTTGCCGCCTTGACCCCTGCTCCCGTTGCTCCCCTGCCCTTGCTCCGTTTCTCCCGTTCCTCCTCCGTGCTCGCCCACTGCCCACTGCCCAGTCCCTCACTTGGCATTGATTCCCGAGCAATCCTCTGACGACTGCCCACTGCCTGTTTCCGTTAAGAATTTCGTCCACCCTACCCACCATGCGTCCTGGCATGCCGATCATACCCCTGCTCGACACATACCAGGTCGTGACAGCGCTGGCAACTTCCATCTACTTCGACTGGTCAGTCACTTCCACCCCCCCCCCCGCCTCTCTCTCTCCTCTCCCCTCTCTCCGCCCTCTGCCACACTGCCTCATCTTCCCAGTTACACTTTATTACCCGGGAGCATAGTACTCTCCCCTGCACACACACACCCACCCCCACATACCCACTCTTCGCAACCACCCCACATGCGCACGCTTTAGCACCCACCACCAGCGGTCCTCTCAATTGACTAAGTCCTGCCCTTTCTTCCTCCCCCCTATCCTCCATCGCCCCTACCCTCACTCACCCCTCGTTCCTCCCCTTGCCCCGCAACACCCTGCGCCCTTGCAGCGGAGCATCCGACCCCTTGTTCGGCATGGCAGTGGTATTCGCCACCATTGTGATGTATGATGCTCAGGTACGGTTAATCAATCCACCTCTGTCCTCTGGGTGACTTTTGAGTCTTCTTAAAAGTCACTTCGAATGGCAGTGGTATTCGCCACCATTGTGTTGTATGATGCTCAGGTGCGGTTCATCCACCTCTGTCCTCCTCTGGCCTCACACTCTGTTAGGAGATGAGTTTTGAGTAGACTCAAAAACCGTTTTCTGATGCGTGATGCCCAGCTACTGTAATCCACCTCTTCCCTCCTGCCCCACACGTGTCCTGCCCCTCTCCCTGCCTCTCTCCCTGCCCCTCTTCTCTGCCTCTCGTATCGCCTCTCCTGATCCTTGTGTTAGTCGTTCCTGCCCCTCCATGGCCTGCTGACCCATGTTGTGAGCATTGCGCCAACTTTCTGTCCTCCCTCCCTCTTCTGTCTCCACCCTCTCTTTCTCCCTCTCTTGCACTTGCGCACTTTCCCCTCCCGCCACCTTCTAACCCGCTCTCCTCTTTCTACCACACCATTCGACTGTGTGACATGGTGCAGGGGGTGCGGGCAGCAGTGGGCAAGCAGGCTCAGGTGATCAACTCCCTGGTGGTGCCGCAGCTGGTTCCCCCTCATCCCCTCTCCTCGTCCGCTCGGAACGGCACTGTATCGCTCTCCAGGGCCATCGCCACGCACGACACCGCGCACACCACCAACGGCACCAGCAGCAGCAGGACCACCACCAGCAAGGCCACCAGCAGGACCACCAGCGGCAGCACCAGCGGCAGCAGCAGCAGCAGCAGCAAAAGTGGTCAGGCGGTGGAGCAGAGGGGGTGGAAGGGATTGTTCACATGGCCGCAGCGAGTTGAGAGGCTAGGAGCAGGGGTGGGGCCTGGAAGCATGGGTGAGGCTGGTGCACAAGCACAAGGGGTTGGTAGTGATAATGTTGGTGGTGGGGGGCGCTTGACTGAGAAACTGGCAGCAGAGAAGGAATGGGACGAGAGCCACAACCTTGCCAAGGGGATCATTAGCAGTACGGATAACAGCCTTGAGAGCAGCAGGTGGCGGTGGCAGCGTACCAGGAATTTCTGGGCGGCAGTGGGGAAGGAGCCGGCAGTGCTGCAGGGGGAGGTGGAGGTGCAGGAGATTGGGCCGCTGGAAGGGTGGCAGCACGTGCCGCTGAAGGAGTCGGTGGGACATACCAAGGCTGAGGTGGTTGGGGGTGCGCTGGCTGGCATTGTGCTCAGCTTGCTCGTCCACGAAGCATTGTTTATCTGAACGAAGGAGTGGGTAGAAGATTGTTTCTTTTGGTTCGGGCTAGGTTAGGGTAGAGGGGTCGGAGGCGTTAGTACATGAACTGACATGTTGCGGGTAGCTGGACATTAGCGGACCAGATACAAATACTGAAATATGAACTTAGAGGCAACTTCATCGCTAGGGACAAGTCTGAAAACTTGAGTGCATGGTGTGTGATGGTTTCCCACCAATACCCGGAACCACTTTTGGAACATACGTATGTATAGTGCAATTACATTTCAGAAGGCTGTTTGATTTGAAGAGTTTCTCCACCGCAACAGCAAATCCGCAGTAGACACAGTCGGATCATTTCCTCGGAAGATGCGGCGCAACTGAAGCAGGTGAAACTTTTGCCTGCGCCTTGGGACAAGCCGCTGTCAGGGCGTTCGCCAATCGCAGCCGTCGACTGCTGCCATACCCTCGCCTAACCTAACTGGCAGGCACGGAGGGAGCCTGCCATGCCAGCCATCACAAACGCGCCTCGGAAGTTCGATATTGTCCGCGACGGCGCCCGTCCAGTGTCCGCTCCATCTAGCGGCGGTTCCATTGAATTCCACACCAGAGGAGGCCGTGTCTTGAAATTTCGTGTCTTCGTCTATTCTTCGTGTCGTGAAATGAAAACGAAATCACTTTCATTTGAAGCTCAGTATTGTTGTTGAATTTTGGCTGTGTAAGCAGATCGTGTTGAGATTATGGCACTTTCTGAATTCTGCAGTAAACTAGCAGAAAACGACGTGTAGCGTACACTCGACTGTCGTCAAGAGACAGTAAACACAGCCTCGATATCTAGCATTCTGATAAACCAAGCCCGAGCAAAAACCCGAGCTCCGGCACTAAGATAGTCAGCTACGTAAGCGGTAACGCTGCATTATCATTCTGGTAAATATTTATTCCAGTGCCACGAGGTTTCCCAGCTATCCGATATCTCGAGGTATCAGATACCATTATTCCTTCGCTGGTCATCGATAGTACCGTTTCATGCGCCGGGAAAGCTGTGGAAGCCTGGAACTTTTTGGAATAGGCCGTCAGCGTTTCTCGTCATTTGTCAATTGAAATAAACGACTCAGGCGAGAAGAGACGCAAGCTGCGCGGTATTGTGGCGGAGGCGCCTCAGGGAAGCACAGCCCAGGCAGACGAGCGAGCGCGGAATAATGGCGCGGATACACGCGACGGCTCACGTGGGCTTACGGGTTCTAAGACTGGCAGCAGCAGCAGCAGCAGCAGCAAGAAGAACCCTAGGACGAGCGGAACTACTGCTGCCGCTGCTGCTGCTGGCGGTGTGCTTCATGGCTCCAGTGGTGGCGGGTGCCGATCCATACGCAGGTATCACGCTTCTGCACCCTTCTGCCGCGCTAGTGAAGACATCCTTCACTCTTTCTCCTTTCACCTTCTCCTCTGTCCTTCGGCCATTTTGCATCTCCTTTTATCCTCTCGCCGCCCCCTACCAACCACGCATCGCGCGGCGGCATCGGCGCGTTTGGGTCCACCGCACGCGTCTCGTCCGCACCGCGGTTCCCGCACAACCTGAGGGAATGCTCTCGCGTTATCCCGGATTACTCGCGCGGCCCATCCCCCATCCCCATCGTCCGCTTCCTCGCCTCCCCTTCCCCGATTCCGTCGCCACTGTCCCGCTACCGCGCCACCCCATTATCGGCGGCTCCTTCCGTCCACACCCCTTCCTGCTCCCCCATGCCCCCTTCCCCCCTCCCCTCCCCCCTTCCCTTCCCCGCAACCCCCCATATCCCCAGACACGGGCCCCATAGATCCGGAGACGGACCCCGCGGTGCTGGCGCGCATGCTTCCGCTGAACGTGCGCGCGGGCGGGCCGTTCGCGGACTGGATCACGGGGGAGCGCGAGTGGTTCAACGTCAACTACTACTTCGGCAAGGGAGGTGCGTGCGGCGCGGCGCTTCTGGGTGCGTCGGGGATGTGTCGGAAATGCGGCGGGGGTGCGGCGGGGGTGCGTCTGGGGTGCGTCGGGGATGCCTGGCTGGCGCATGGTTGGCCTTGCACGGTGCGGGCGAGCGTGGGTTGAGTCGGAACTGAATTAAGCGGAATGTTCGCCGGTGGTTGCGCCATGCATTGCCGCCCGACTCGCGCCCGCGCCCCTGCATTCCCAGTGCCCGCCCGTCCGCACCACACGGTCGCGGCTTACTTGGACTTCGCCCATCCAACTCACTCCCATTCCCCGCCAGGAAGTCCCTCCCCAACCCACGTCCCCTCCCCCCTGGCAACGACCTGCTGCACACGCAGAGGAGCAACGCCGTGGTCTGGAGAAACGGGCTTTCCCCATTCCGCATTCCCCTCCGCTCTCTCTGCCTCCCTCATCCCCAACCACCTTCCCCCCCCCCCTCCCCCCGCCCCCTTCCCCCCTCCCTCCCCCGTCCCCTAGGCAACAACCTGCGGCACACGCAGCGCAGCAACGACGTGATCTGAGGGGGGTTTCAGGCCCCCCAGTGCGCATTCCGCATTCCGCATTCCGCCCATTCCCCGTTCTGTCCCGCTGTGTGCGTCGCTCACCCCCTCCCGCCCCTCAGGCAACGACCTGCTGGACACGCAGCGCAGCAACGACGTGATCTGGGGGGGTGACGGCGACGACGGGCTGTACGGCGAGGACGGCAACGACACCATGATGGGCGGCCCGGGCAACGACCTGCTCTGCGGGGGTGGGTGCTGGGCCGGGGAGCGGGAGGTGGGGCAGTATTGCGCGTGCGGGGCGCTGGTGTTGGGACAGTGCTTGCAAGGGCGGCGAGTGAACGGCACCACGAAGGGGGGAGCGGGGAACGACCTGCTGTGCGGGGGTAGGCGTGCGGGAGGAAGGCGGGGAGGGGGGAGGGGGGAGAGAGGGGGGAAGGGAGGGGGGGAGAGAGGGGGGAAGGGAGGTGGGGGATGGGAAGTGGAAATGGGAGTGCGGCGGGACTTACTGGGTGGGGGCAGTGTTTTGCTCTTAGTTCGGGGAATGGGACGATTGTGGGGCATGTGACCAAGTGCGAGGGATAGTGCTTGTGTGTGTGTGTGTGTGTGTGTGTGTGTGTGTGTGTGTGTGTGTGTGTGTGTGTGCGTGCGTGCGTGCGTGCGTGCGTGCGTGCGTGCGTGCGTGCGTGCGTGCGTGCGTGCGTGCGTGCGTGCGTGCGTGCGTGCATGTCTTACAGGGCCCATCAGTTTGCATTACCACCACTCCACTACCGTAACCGCTAACCCCCAACTGCCTCGGCCATCACTTTTTCCTCCCATCCTTCCCCCCTTCTCTTCATAAACCCCCCCCTCCCCTCCCTCTTCCCCCCCACGTGCGCAACCCCCGGGCGCGACATCTTCTACGGCGAGGAGGGCGACGACACGATGCTTGGGGGCCCTTGAGGCCTCACAACATGCCACCCGCTGCTACTCCTCCTCACATCCCCCCCCCGCCCCCCCTTCCCCCCTCCTGCCGCCAATCTTGCAGCCCCCGGCCGCGACATCATCTACGGCGAGGAGGGAGACGACACGGTGCTGGGGGACCCGTGTGGCATTGGGAACATCTGCGAGGGGCCGCAGGTTGTCTACAACGACTGGATCCACGTGAGCGCATGGGGGAGCGGCTGCCGCTGCTGCTGACGCTGCCCCTAGTGCTGCTGCTGCCGCTAGTGCTGCTGCTGCTCCTGCTGTTGCTGCTGCTGCTGCTGCTGCTGCTGCTGCTGCTGCTGCTGCTGCTCCCTTCTCTGTCGCCACCTCATTCCACAGTCTTCCGTTCCTCTCTTATCGCCATTCCTCTCATGTCTCCTCCACCTCTCTTCTCTCCCCATCCCCCCACCCCCCCACCCCCCTTTCCCCGTTCTCCCCTTCCCCCGCTTGGTCTTCCCTTGGTCTTTCCTCCTCTCCTGTTGCTCTCCCTGGCAGGGCGGACCTGGCAAGGACGTGCTGAACGGGCAGAAGGGCGACGATGAGATCTACGGGGGGACAGGCGACGACAGGTGGGCGCAGCGCAGGTGGGGAGGGCAGGTGGGGAGGGCAGGTGGCAGAGGGGGGGAGGGCAGGTGGCAGAGGGGGGGAGGGCAGGTGGACAGGGGAGGGGACGACAGCACCACCAGCACCACCACCCCCTGTGAGGTTGTACTGCGACGTCGACAACAACTGCCTGAACCGCGAGGAGGCAATGACCATTGGCAACTGTGCGTAGGGCTGTCATGTGCGCTTGTGTGTGCCTGTGCGCTCGTGCAATCCCACACCCCTACTGCGACCCGGGTTGTGTGCGTCTGTGCACTTGTGCAACCACAACCGCGGGTTTTTTGGTGGGTACAACAAGGACTACCTGACGACAAGGACTACCTGACGACAAGGACTACCTGACGACAAGGACTACCTGACGACAAGGACTACCTGACGACAAGGACTACCTGACGACAAGGACTACCTGACGACAAGGACTACCTGACGACAAGGACTACCTGACGACAAGGACTACCTGACGACAAGGACTACCTGACGACAAGGACTACCTGACGACAAGGACTACCTGACGACAAGGACTACCTGACGACAAGGACTACCTGACGACAAGGACTACCTGACGACAAGGACTACCTGACGACAAGGACTACCTGACGACAAGGACTACCTGACGACAAGGACTACCTGACGACAAGGACTACCTGACGACAAGGACTACCTGACGACAAGGACTACCTGACGACAAGGACTACCTGACGACAAGGACTACCTGACGACAAGGACTACCTGACGACAAGGACTACCTGACGACAAGGACTACCTGACGACAAGGACTACCTGACGACAAGGACTACCTGACGACAAGGACTACCTGACGACAAGGACTACCTGACGACAAGGACTACCTGACGACAAGGACTACCTGACGACAAGGACTACCTGACGACAAGGACTACCTGACGACAAGGACTACCTGACGACAAGGACTACCTGACGACAAGGACTACCTGACGACAAGGACTACCTGACGACAAGGACTACCTGACGACAAGGACTACCTGACGACAAGGACTACCTGACGACAAGGACTACCTGACGACAAGGACTACCTGACGACAAGGACTACCTGACGACAAGGACTACCTGACGACAAGGACTACCTGACGACAAGGACTACCTGACGACAAGGACTACCTGACGACAAGGACTACCTGACGACAAGGACTACCTGACGACAAGGACTACCTGACGACAAGGACTACCTGACGACAAGGACTACCTGACGACAAGGACTACCTGACGACAAGGACTACCTGACGACAAGGACTACCTGACGACAAGGACAACCTGACGACAAGGACTACCTGATGACAAGGATGGCAACGACTACCTGGTGGGGCTGTCAGCGTGCTCGCGTGCGTGTGCCCTCTTGCAACCACAACTTCCCTCCCCCCTCCACCACCCTCGCCGCCACAACCACCACCCAGGCTGTATGGGGGGGACGACAACGACTACCTGAACGGCGAGGAGGGCAACGACGCGCTCTTTGGCGAGGCGGGCAACGACTACCTCGTGGGGGGCCCAGGCAACGACACTCTATATGGAGCTGCTGGCACCGACACCCTATACGGCGGCCCCGGATTCGGTAATAAGGAGTATGAGATGCCTATTTTCTCGGCCTTCTCCTCCTTTCCTCCCTCGTTTCCTCTCCCACTCTGTCCTTTTTAGTTCTCGCCATCCCTCCTTCCTTCCCTCCCTTGCTTCCTGCCTGCAAGAATATGTTCCTTCTTCCGGCCCTGGCACGCCCCTCCTCCTCCTCCCCCCCTCCTCCCTCACCCTGCAGACATTTTAAGGGGCGGGGGAGGCACCAACATCTTTGTGGTGGACGCCCAACCATGCGGCACATTCGACCAGATCCGATACTTCGTGTGAGTAGGGCTATCGAGCTTGGAGTCGAACCGGGATGGATAATTGGTGCGAGAGTGCTGAGCCCCGTTGGGTGGGTGCAGGAATCTGGAGAGGCGTGCTCCCGATGGCTGCAAAAATACTCGAAAGCCACTTTGACTTTCCCGCTACCATCTCTGTTCCCACGCCAATCCTCGAGCTTCATCAACCGCTTCTTAGTCCCTCCATCATCCTAACTCGACTCACTGGCCGCTCCCTCCCCACTGGTTGCATCCTCGGGTCTGTGTCGTTCCGTGCTGTGCTGCGCCGTGCTGTGCTGCGCCGTGCTGTGCTGTACCATGCCGTGTTTTGCTGTGAGACATGTCTGATTCATGCAGCCCCAAGAACGGCGACCGGGTCATTGTGGTGGCGGGAGGAGGCGCCGTGGGAGGGGAGCTGCTAAAGAAGGGCAGATCGGTGAGAGAGAGGGGCTTAGTTAGCTGTGGGGAAGGGTGCGAAGGGATGAGAAGGGTGCGAGGGTCTGTGCTGCGGGGATGTGCGTGGGGTTAAAGAACAAAGTCCACGTCATGGGGGTGGCCGCGGGAGGAGCCGCAGGAACGGAGCAGTGGAGTCATTTTTGGGAATTCTTTAGTCGACTCAAAAGGCGACTCTTGAGTTGACTCAAAAGGTGATTCTTGAGTCGACTCAGAAATCACCTCAGGAAGGGAGCAGTGGAGTCATCTTTGGGAATTCTCATGTTTGAGAATGTGCGAGTCACACTCCAGAGCAGCTGAAGAAAAGCAGATCGGTGAGAGGAGTGCTGTGGAGTGTGGGAGTGCTGTGGGGTGTGGGAGTGCTGTGGGGATGATGTGTGGTCTTTAGAACCAATAGTACTTCCTTTTCCTAGACCTTTCTTCTTTTCTGTACTACCGCTCCACAGTACATTTATCCAGCTCATGGTTCCCCTCCTGCATCTCCCTTCCGCCTCTCCCCGCATTTCCCCCCTCCGCCCTCCCTGTGCGCTCCCTCCCACTCCCCCAATATCCCACAGCTAGTATTCACGTGGAGGGGTGTGCTGATCCCACTCACAACAACCCTCCTCCGCCCCCCTTTTTTCCATTGTACCTTTCCCCAGCTAGTAAGTGGTCTATTTTTGAGGCGCCTAAAAAATAGACTCCTCACACAGCCCTCCTCAGCAGCCCTTTTCTTCCGTTGTACCTTTCCCCAGGTAGTGACTGGTCTATACGTGGAGAGGGGTGTGCATAGCCCTCTTCACTACACTAAAGAGCGTGTGGCGAAGAGAACCTCACGACCACCCCCCCCCCTTCTTTCTTTTCTCCCCCACTCACTCGTGTACCTTCCCCCAGGCGGTGACTGACAGTGAAGCACGTTACCGGCATTTACGTGGACAGGTGTGCGAAGCCCACTCACAACCCCCCTCCGCCCCCCCCCCTTTTTCCCTTGTACCTTCTCCCAGGCGGTGACAGTGAAGACAGTGAAGCACGTTACGGGCATATACGTGGACGGGTGCGCCAAGCCCATTGCTGTGTTCACAGGCGTGGACGTGCCCCCTGCGCCCATCGCCAAGGCGCTCAAGCTGCAGGCCGACCCTCCGCCTCCTCCCAGCTGGGTCGTGGTGAGCTGCTCCTTCTGCCTCCCTTCCTCCCCCATCTCCCACTTCCTTTTCCCTGCGCCCAACACCAAGGCGCTCAAACTGCAAGTCGACCCTCCGCGTCCTGCCAGCTGGGTTGTGGTGAGCTGCTGCTGCTGCTGCCATCCCACCCCTCCCATCCCTCCCACCCTTCCATCCCCTCCCCCCCTTTTCCTCACTCCCCCAGAGCCACATCTCTCCGCCCGTCCCGTCCCTGGCAAGAACGGCGTGCCCCCTGTCCCCGGGGTGACTTTGGCGTCGACTCAAAACTCAAAAGTCACCCTGCTGTCCCCCTCCCTCACCAACCCATCCCCCCTCCCACACCAACCCATCCCCCCTCCCCAGGGCTACATCCCTCCGCCCATCCCTGGCAAGAACGGCGTGCCCGCGATCCCCCCTGACAACGTGCTGCAGGGCAGTCCGTTCGGGGACAACCTGTATGGGCTCAACCACTCCAAGGAGGTCAGTCCGTCAGCCGAATGTTCAGGTTTGAGACGCATCAAAAGCTCGCTCGTTATCACGCGACAACCTGAACTGGCTCAACCACATAAGGGAGGTCAGTCCATTTTGATCCATACCGAACCACCCCCCCCCCACCCCCTCTTTTCCCCAGATTGGCAACTTCATGTTTGGGCTGTCGCTGAACGACAAGCTGGTGGGGGGCCCCGGGCCGGACGTCATTCTGGGGGGCAACCACAACGACACCATCATTGGGGGCGCGGGGGACGACCGACTGGTGAGGTGGGGGAGGAGGAGGGGAGAGGGTGGGTGGTGCAAGCAAGGAGGTGGGGGGCATGAGTACTAGATGGGAGGGCCGTGTGGTAGTAAGTAATATAGGTCTGAGACGTCTCTAAAATAGAGTACTATCACTTGGGGCATAGGGTTCTGGTGAGAGGGCCAGGGCCGAGTCTGGGAACAGGGCCGGGACCAGGGCTGGGACCAGGGCTGGGACCAGGGCTGGGACCAGGGCTGGGACCAGGGCTGGGACCAGGGCTGGGACCGAAGTTCATTCTGAGGGGGAACCACAAGGACACCATCATTGGTGGTTGCGGAGGGCAGGGCTGATGATTGAAAGACTGACTGGTGGGGATAGGGGGAATGCGGCAGGGCGGGCGGGGGGGATTGGGGAGGGCCAGGAGGGCGGAAGAGCGGTGTTGCCGATAAGTGGGTTCTTCAAATAAAGGGGTGGCGGGAGCGAGCGAGGATGGTTTGATTCAGAAAGAGGGAGAGCGAAGCGAGCAGAGCAAAGCTGGTGTTGGGACGTATCGACTTGAAGCTGCTGTCCCTTCGACTCCTGCGCATCGGGTTACTTTCTTCCGCTCCGTTCTCTTCAGCTCAGGACCTGACTTGCCTTGTTCCCCTACCAACTTCCCCCCCTCCCCGCCACCCATCCTCCATCCTCTCGGCTCCCCCACGGTCTGGCGGGTCGGGCTACGATCACGATTCCTTGAGCTCCCATTACCAATCCCTCGTTCTCCCTTTCCTCCTTCCCCTCGCCACCCCTGCCCCTTCCTCGCTGTGCTCACACAGTCTGGCGGGTCGGGCTACGATCACGATTCTTTGAGCTCCCATCCTCAGTCCCCCTTTCCTCCTTCCCCACTCCATCCCTGCTCCTGGCTCCTTCCTCTCCTCTCTGTGCTCACAGTCTGGCGGGTCGGGCTACGATCTGATTCTCGGTGGCGCGGGCAGGGACGCGCTGTTTGGGGGGCACAACGTGGATATACTCTACGGGGGGGGCTGGGGCAACTGGATCACAGGGGGGGACTCCTCAGGTGAGTAGTGGAGTAGGGCTCTCTTGCCTGCACTGCCCTTGCCTTCTCTTCAGTCAACCCAAATGCTGTTTGGGCGGCACAACGTGGACGGGCTCCATGGAGGGGGCTGGGGCAACTGGATCACAGGGGGGGACTCCTCAGGTGAGCTTCTGAGCTTGCATGGGCTGGCTCTGTGTTGCCCCTGCTGCATACCATGGCCTGCCATGCCATGCCATGCCATGTCATGCCATGTCATTCTGTGCCAGAGGCCATCGCAGGCCCAAGCCCAGGCATTCTGTTTCAAAACACCTTCGTGCAATTGTTGAGAACTGTGATGACACAGGGAGCCATAGCAACGCCAGATGTCAGCATCGCGTACCTGATTCCTCTAATCGTCCACCACGCCACGCCAGGCTACCTCTCTTCCCTCGTCCTCACCATTCCCCACTCGCCTGCGACGGCCGCCTCTGTCCGCCCACCGCTACCCCTCTCCCCCCCACCGCCCTGCCTCTCAGATAAGATCTACGTGGATGCTCCCACCAGCTGCACAGCCACAGGGCCTGCCCCCGATGTCATCAACGACTATGATACAGACAAGGTGCGCACGTGCTGCTCTTGAGTACTCGGACGTCTGAAAACTGTCATTGACGAGTGCTTTTTTAGTGGAGTCATAACACCGACAAGGTGCAATCAAGCTGCTTTTGAGTTGAGGCAAAAGCAGCCCAAGCCACAGGGGCCTTCCTGATGTCATCAACGACTGTGGCACAGACAAGGTGCGCACACGTGCTGCTCACCCATCTTTGAAAGGGCTGCTGAAGGGTCTGCCCAAAATCTCTGATCCCCTGGTGTATTTTGAGTCGACTCAAAATACACCTGCCCAAAATCTCTGATCCCCTGGTGTATTTTGAGTCGACTCAAAATACACCTGCCCAAAATCTCTGATCCCCTGGTGTATTTTGAGTCGACTCAAAATACACCTGCCCAAAATCTCTGATCCCCTGATCCCTTACTGTATTATGTCTGACACTCTTCTCTTCTGCGTCCCTTTTGTCACCTCTCTCGCCCTCTATTCCTTCCCCTCTTGCTATTGAGAATTCTCATAAACACCCTGTTGCTGTTGCCACTTCTCCCCTCCCGACCTGACCACCCCTCCTCTTTTCAGATATTCATCGTGGGTTCGCTCACCTCCCTCTCTCAGCTCTCCATCTCCACCATTGCCACAGGCACCACCATCGCACTCAAGGTACAAACTCCCTCTCTCCCTCCCTCAACTCTCCCCGTTTCTGCTGCTGCTGCTGCTGCCAGTGCCGCTATTGCTCCAAGTGCTCCTGTTATTTTAGTGAAGGTGATAGCAAGGAGGAAATGTTTCGGAAAAGTGGGCAGCAACCTTCAACAAGCCTGCCCTGATGTTTCGCTGGTGGAGCAATCAAGCCTGCCTGACGGGCTTTGCCCCCTGCTCCCTCCCTCTCTCTCTCTCTTCTGTGCAGGGGTGTGCTACTCCATTCATCTTTGTGAGAGGGGTCAGCAACCTCCCCACGTCCAACATGTTCTTCACCACTTCGGTATAGTGCAGCAACCTCCCCCAAGTCCAACGTTTTGTTCTTGCAGCGCTTACTTAGAGCGTGTTCCTACGAGCCTCTTCCCAGGCAACCCCTTCCCAGACTCGCGCGTCACCCTGAGAGCGTGTTCCCAGGACCCCCGTTCAGAACTAACCCGTTTCAGATTTGTGTTCCACCGTTCTCAACCTCATAAAAACAGCTCGCGTCGAATTTGCACTGTACAGATTCGCGCGTCTGACACTATGTTCGCCTGAAAAGTGGTTCAGAAACGCGCCCCTGAATCTTGGCAAGCCTTACCTTGTGTTGCACCACGTGGAACCGCACTGAACAGTTTTGCGCCAAAGTTCGCAACACTGTAGCGCACGAGTCTGGGAAGAGGCTGCCTGGAAAGTGGTTCGTAGGAACACGCTCTTATTGTGTGCTGTTGGTGTCAGCTGTTTGTTATTTGTCTTCTTTAAATCAAAACTCGGTTTGAAGCCCGTGTTACAGGCTGTTCAACCTTTTGAATGCTTGAAATATATGTTATCCTTATTGGCATTGTATAACACACCCCGATATAATCCTCGTTCTCATGCAGGCTGGCATTCCTACAAAGCCCTAACCAGTGTCTACTTCGGGTGGTGAAGGCATATTAGCATGCCGCATCATGGATGGTGTTCAGCTGTACTAAAGACGTGTCGAATTTAGAGATCGGCTGTTGTGTATTCTCAATAATTTGTATTATGTGGTATGCAGGCCCTCAGATTCGAATTTGGGCACCCTGAGCCCTCAGGGTTCATCCTCTGAAAAGTGTGCACCCCTCGGGGTTTGAGATGCACAGGGCACTTTTCAAAGTGCAGCTTTTTCGTTACAACCAACCTCACAATGGTTATGAAACATATGCACGGTATGGCAGAGTAGTACATCGGTCATTACAGTTTAGACACATCAGACTAGAAATTTCCTTCGTCATCAGAGCTAAACCCACAGCTACTGTCATCGTCATCCTCTGGCTCACCAACCAGGCTGTCGTTATCAGGGTATTTTACCCTGATTCCCTGATTTCACAGGGTATTTTTTTGGCCAACCCTTAATTTTCAGGGTTGGGCTTTTTTTAACCCTAACCTCTTCACGGTTGTATGTTTGTGAACACTTACAATTTCAGGGTTTGCGTTATCACAACACTGAGTTTTCAGGGAGTAACGCGTACGAACCCTGAATGCGACATCCATGCGGACCTTGAGTTTCGGCGAAATGGCCCCCTTACACGTGACGAGTCCCAATTGTGACACGACCTCAGAGGAGTGTGCAGTGCAGTCGTCATAGCATATCATAGCTCCATAATACAGCACACTAGATAGGGCAAATACATGGCAAGGGAACAAGGCTGAGCGGCCATGCTAGTTATCAACGCGAGGGAGGGAAGGGTGGGCAAGTTGGAACAGAAAAATGCAAATGAGACTAGGTGGCAGGTCTGAAAGACCTGCCGATAGATGAAGGAGTTTGTCTCCTTTACAGCAAACTCCTCTTCTAGTCGAATCACAATCTGTAAATTTTTCATTACAAAATTTTTCTCATATTGTGACACGACCTCAGAGGAGTGTGCAGTGCAGTCATCATAGGTCGAACGAGACATCAAGTGTGAGGGCGTCGACGGTGGCGCTCAAGGGTGGCCTGGTACCGATCGGTCGCGCTCGAGCGAGTAGGATCTTGTAGCATGCGAGAAGCGGCCACTAGCTCGTGGTCAAGCTGAGTAATGTAAAGCTCCTTGGCTGTATCACTTCGCCAACGGCCGAGGGCCTTGAAAAGCCGGTCGGGGACTCCAACATCAACGGCGACCGTCGCAGCTGCCTTGCGGAAAGAATGGGTGCCCAGGAGGGCTGGGTTGAGGCCGACACGGGAGAAAGCATCTCGACACCAACCCCGAATGGCGGCGTACGAGGGAGGGCGATCTGAGGGGGAAGCTCGGGCACCTGGCTGAAATATACGAATAAGGGGGCCAAGGGTCTGCGGAGAATAGCCAGCCAGGAAGAGGAACTGTTGGACACGCGACACCGGACAGTGGCGGGCAGAAGAAGCAGCCACTGGGACCCAAACACCGGTGCCCGCTTGGTCGGTATTCGAACGGGGGATGAACAACCACATGCAGTCCCGATCGAACTCGATCTGGTGCCACTGGAGGGAGATGAGATCAGAGAAACGAAGGAAGGCTGCGAACATGAGGAGGGGAATAAGGCCCTGTTGGAATGTGGCCGGATCATGCGAGGAGAAGTAGAGGTCACAGATATCGTAAATCTTGGCTGGAGGAATGGGCTCTTTCGCTTGAGATGGCTTGCCACAATGACGCATGGCATAATCCTTGACTTGCGAAGAAAAGGGGCCGCGAATCGGGGAGGGGTGGCCGACCAGCCAATGGGCGCAGGATATGGCGGAACACGCAGTGCGCACAGCTGAGACGGTAGCGCCGCGACGGACCGAGTGCAGCAGAAAGAGGGCCGATGTCAGGTCGGTGGCGGGAAGGAAGGGAAGTGAGTGCGCCAAACAGAAGGCTCGAAACTGTCGCCAATAGGGTTCATAAGTGCGAAGGGTCGACTTTGCCCGAAGATCGACGGTGAGTGTGAGAAGGTCCGACAATAATCGACCAATATATGAGCCTGCGTAGTGAAATAAAATGCTACATTAGTTGAATGCAAATCGAAGCGCATACATTGGAGAGTTCGGAAGACCGGCACCGCTAAAGGCATTACGGTCACTGCCAACACGTAAACAACTAGCACCCAGGGTAAGGCAAAGGGCCATAACGACCTCCGGGCCCCAAGTGAAGCCGTCCAGGCTTAGCAAAGGCCACCAAAAAGCACTGGGCCAATATGGGATCACGAGAGTGAGAGAAGTGCGCGAGCGACGGGCATGAGTTAGGACAGCCGGGATGAGGGCGGGTGGAGGAAAGGCGAAGCAATTCTCGTGTCCCCAGTTAATAGAAAAGGCATCTTGCGCAACCGCCGAGTGTGAGAACTCGAGGGAGCAGAAACGAGCGAGCTGCGCATTGGCAGGGGATGCAAACAAGTCGATGGTATGAGGCCCCCAATGCCTCTCCAGCAGCAGAAACCAAGGACGTGTTAAGGAGTAGTCGTCATGGAGCTCAATCTTGGACAGAGCATCGGCCTCAGTATTCAGCGCACGGGGAATCCATTGGACCGTGAGACGGATCATATGGCGCACGCACAATTGAATAATCGCGCGGCATACGAAGGTAAGCTCGGGACGGCGAGAGCCTCCCTTCTGGAGGATGTAGTAGGCCGCCTGACTGTCGCTGCGGAGCAAGATGTGCGAACGCCGGATTTTGACAGAAAAGGCCGAAAGGGACCAAAAGATTCCGGCCAACTCGCGAAGGGTACTGGACGAGCCCAAGAAGGCTAGAGGCAGCGGGGAGGAGAGCGAGCCGACACGACCATCCGGCGCGGAATAACAAGCCCCCCAGGCATGGTCGCTAGCATCCACGTACATGACAACGTCGTACAAATGCGGGTTGTGGAAGCGGGCGCCGTTGAAAATGTCGAACTGTGTGAGCCAAAAACGCAACTCTTCAACAGACTCAGGGGTTAGGAGAATGGCCGCCCCCCATGAGTGGCATTCGGCGATCTGAGCGAGAAGGTGGTGGGAGAAGGCGCGCACGACGGTGCCAAGTGCCAAGGACATGGAGGCCAACATGCCGGTGATGCGGGCAGCGCGGCGAACAGGGATGCGACGCCCGTTAGCGCCGAGTGTGCCTAATTCATCCAGCTCGGCAAACAGCCGATCGCGCCGATCCGCATCGACAGAGAATGTGGTGGTGCGCGTGTCCAGCAAGAGGCCCAAGAACTTCAAAGATTGTGCCGGCGCGAGTTGTGATTTTTTGAAATTCACTACGAAGCCCGCGGCTGCAAGGTCGGCGATGATTATGGAGCGGTTGTGAAGTGCCTCCGTTCGAGTGGCACTAATGAATAGGATATCATCGACGTATGGAATAAGGCGGATGCCACGACTACGCCAGCGTTTGGAGAGTTGCTTAATTAACTGGGTAAACACAAATGGCGCTGTAGCCAGCCCGAAAGGCAAGGAGAGGAATTGGTAGTCCTGCCCTTGCAGGGAGAATCCGAGAAACCGCCAAAAGGCGGGGTGAATGTCGACGTGGTGGTACCCAGATTTGAGATCGATTGTGAATAGCCAATCGCCTTCTTGCACCAAATCAGGAACGCGAGTAAGTCCTTCGTATCGAAAACGACGCACCGAGAGGAATGAGTTGACATGCCGCAAGTCCAATATCAGCCTCTTTTTAGAGGGTTGGACAATCACGTTTAATGGGCTAACGCATGTAAGGGTTGCGGAAGGAGGTACGACCCGAGCTGCGCCGGTGGCGAGAAGCTCGGCCACTGCACCTACAGTGAAAGATGTGAATTGCAAGGCACCGGCATGATTCTTAGTACGAGACGGGGGGGGCTCAGAGGCAACCCATGGTAGGCGATATCCATATGTAATCACCGATAGAATCATGCGGCTGTCGCACCAGGCGGACCACCATGCAGCGCGGTCATGGAGGCGGCCTTGCATGCGGGTAATCTTGGTTGCGTCATCGGCATAGGCCGAAATGGTTCCGAGCTCTGGTGGGAGAGGGAACACAAATAGGGACGGTAGAGAGTCAGGAAGGTGCTTCACCTCATTTAGTTCCGACCTCAACAAGGGAGTTTTTTTTTTTTTTTTTTTTTTGTCGGGAAGGAAGGCAAACGCTAATTATAGGTGCCCACTCGCTCGCTATTCTTCGGCCACGTCATTCCTTAAGTAATAAACCATTGGATTGGGCATGTCAACTTGGCATACTGGGCTGTAGTTGGTGGTCATATATGGTGATGACATAGAAATCTTGTCATGAGTCTTATCAACGGCAGTCTTTAGAGGATACACACACATTGTGTAAGCGTCCTGTGGGCACGTTCATGTCTTCTTGCACAGGCCCAACGGGCGAGACCATGTGGTCGTATGACGCGCGAATTAATCTTACGTGAGTGCAAGAATATGTGTGTATGTTGTTGTTGTTGTTGTCTTTTTTCTTTTTCTTTTTTAAATATATTAAGAACGCTACAACATCGGAGAGGTTAAACAATCTTTACACAATCTTAGCCGGCCGATTGGCCCCTTGGCCCCTTTGGGGGCAATTAGCCATCCCATGCCCGGGTTCACGACAATAGAAACAACGGCCGTCGCCGTCCCTACGCCATGTGTTCCAAAGGCGCTCCCCTTGGCCTCGAGGGCGAAGAGGGGGTTCAGGACGGGATGTGGAATGGGTGGGCCGAGTGGGCCTCTTCTTGCTAGCCGCTACAATCTGAGAAGCAGCCTTGACATTCTTATCCTCTACCACTTCCCCGTACTTAATCTTAAGGGCCATATTGGCCACTTCAAAACCGCGTTGATCGGCGGTAAACAAAAAATGAATATTTTCTTCCGCCTCCTCTACTATATGCTGGAGATAGTCGGCGGCTTGTTCACCACCATCAGGTGGTAAAACCGAGATAGCATGACGTGCAATAGCTTGAATGCGCTCAAAACTAAAAAGTTGCGTACGAATGCCATCGCTTTTAACTAAGGAAGAGCGCAACTGAGGACGTGCAGGTGGAATAGGAGCAAGGGCGAGCGCTGCAGAAGCGGATTTTGGGCGGGCAGCATTACCTTCGTCAAGCGTGGCATGGGGTGCTTCCTCGTCCATTTCGTCGTCCACGGGCTCAGGGGCGGGCGCCGGGAGGCGAGAACGTGGGGCTGCCGCCACTGCGACGCGTGCTGGTTCCGGAGGCGGTGCTGGATCGGCGCCATTGCCACGCTGGAGCGCCGCAAGAAGACCA